TCTGAGCAAAGCTGAAATAAAAGCCCTGCATTTCTTTTTAATTTTTATTGTGATTAAAAATGGTGAATGACGCATTTCACATTTAACAAGTCACCTTTTTATTTGTGACTTGAGACCGGGCTGCATGTGGGGATAATTATACCAACTTCCTGTGTAGCGTGCTTTGAGATCTATGTTTGACAACAGCAGTGTGGTGGTATTATGCCATATTTGGATGGATGTGGGAATTCCATTTAAAAATGCAACTATCAACATTTTAAAATTATTCTTATTAATTAAATCTACCTGAAATGTGCTGGATCTATAAAAGAAAAAATGATCAAAACATGTTTTTCTATCTAAAACTGATTTATCAAGCAAAAGTATTACCGTATATACTCGAGTATAAGCCGAGTTTTTCAGCACATTTTTGTGCTGAAAAATGCCCCCCTCGGCTTATACTCGCGTCAGCGTCTCGGTCTGAAAGCTCTATGTATGTGCGATGAACAGCGCACATACATAGGCTTGTTGGCTGCACAGTGACTGCCAGTGATTGGCTTGTCACTGTGCTGTGGGCAGGGGGCGGGTCCGGAGGCAGAAGCGCGGCTCGGCGCAGGCTGAAGAGAAGAGATAAGGTAAGGGGCCTGAATGGAAAGGATAAAATCCTTATGGAAAGCAGGATCTGCCCAGGGATTGTGGAAATATTTTATCCTCTGTGTCGGGGGAATGGTATATGTGGAGAGGGAGTTGCCATCTGCAAGTTTCCCTCAGCTAAAAACACGAAAACAGCTAGGAAGCCGGGACACCTGAGGAAAAGAGCTATGGGGAGCTGATTGAGCTTGGTTGCTGATTGAGCTAAGGTTGTTGTACTTTTAAAGTTACGGTATTTTTGATACCATATTGTTTTTGTTGACCCCCTTTTCCACTTACAGAGCTAGGTTATTGTTTTTCTTTGAAATAAATATTCATGTAATTTTATTGGTATCTATCTTCATTTTTTACATTTACCAGTAGCTGCCTCATTTCCTACCCTAGGCTTATACTCGAGTCAATATTTTCCCCCAGTTCTTTGTGGTAAAATTAGGTGCCTCAGCTTATATTCGGGTCGGCTTATACTTGAGTATATAAGTTTAGTGAAACCGTATTAAATAAAAGTATTATTCTATATTTAGTGAATGGGAAAGGTGCAGTGCTGGTGTTAAAGCAGGATACGGCAGGAAAAAGGGACCACATTCTTCAGAATGCAGTCTGTAGTGTTGATTTCATTACCTAGGAACTGGAGGGGGAAAATCCCTGCTATGGCTGCAGGTCTCAAAAAGACCTTAATAAGTTAATTATCCAATCAATAAACAATGTCACTCCCTATTTTTCTGACTTTCTAAAATGTATTATAAATAAGAAGCAAAACATTAAGTTATATAATTGCTCTACCACTTTTTTAAAGAAAATAACAAATATAAATGGAAAAATTGTTTTAATATCAATGATTGAATGTGAAGCTTTCAATTTGATATAAATAATTAGTTGCATCAACTGAAATGAAGAATACGCTCTCTCAACTTGTGGTAGAGGCTACTGCTGTCAAAAGCTGGTTTAGGAATTCGACAGTCTTAGATTCCAGGGGCTTAGCCCATGACTTCCACCAGTTGAGTATTTTGAATTTTTAAAAAACTTTGGTAGCCAACATGTTTTGTTGGAATATTTTTTTTCTTAATTTAATTTAAATGAGTTTAATAGAGGATCGTAAGTGGAGGCCTTAATATAGGTTGCCGTAATTTCAAATTTAATTTTAAATGCATTAATTTATCCAAAAATCCAATTCTTTGATTTACTCAGGGTTACTGAGTGAGGCTGTGGTATATTTGGGAATGGCACTTGGGAATGTCCTGACTGCATTACCCCTAAACCGTTGCCTTCCTTCCCCTTTAGATCCAACACTTGCTAGGGGTAACATTTCCGTCCTGTACACCCAGTGAGCCAGCAGTCTCTGTCCAGAACCAGTTAGCATTAATCAGGTCCCAGGGCCGTGCTCTGAACTTCATGAGCATGGAGATTTAGTTGCCTCCTGGCCTCTAGAAGTGGTCCCCCTACCGTGGTGCTGCTGCTGGCTGATGTGGCAGTGGTGTGGAGCTTACATTGCTGCTGCGGTGCCTGTTTTCACAGAGCCAGGCAGAAGACTCGGACGTCAGTCTGGCACCTTTCGTCAGTACTTGACACTGTTTTACACTTATGGCTGTAGAGGTGACAGTGAGCCCCGGAGCCTGTGGACTCGGATGTCCCTCCCAAGTGCTTTGCCCCATCTCTCCTCACCTGTACAGTGTTACACCGCAAGAGAGACCCGGTTGTCCCTTCCAGGGCTGCTCCAGGCAGCTCCCCATCCAGCTCATTCCTTGCCTTGCTCTGAGTGACAGAGTAGCTGTCCCCTCTTCCTAGCCCAGTCCCTGTGCTCTGCATTAATTCACAGCTCCTGTCAGTGCCGGGGAAAGAGGCCAGTGGGAGCATGTGTGGGGTGAAAAAGGAATTTGTTTAGCAGTCCCACTTGGCCTGTAAATCAGCAGTCTGCCTGGGATCAGCCGCAACACAATAACTGATGCATATTCATGCTTGCTGGCTGCAGCACAGTTATTCAGCTGGGGGATCGTTGTGTCCCGGTGTTAATAATGTGTCCCAATGGGAAGGGAATCCCAGTGGCAGGTGCCTGACTGCTTGTCTTTACCTGCTTTCCTCAGCTTCCTGAGTTGGGGGAACACTGTGGTTCTTTTTCATCTGCATTTTCCCAGGCATTTGAGTGCACTGGGGCTGATTTGGGACTTGGTGAGGGAGATTTTGTTGTGGCGGTGGGGTTTTTTTTTTCCTATTCTAACACACTCCTGCAATGCTTCTATCCTTCCTTGCATCCCTGTTGAGCCTAGTCAAGGAACGGCAATGAAATAAAAATAGAGCCACCTCATTGGCTTGGAGTTGCTAAAGGAGCACGGCTGTGTTTGAGTGGAAGGGATTTGATCATGTCTGTCAGGCAATTTATTAAAAAAAAAAAAAAGTTTAGGAAAGCACCTAGAATTTGACGCTATTCGAGAACTGCATCTCTGCCAATGCCCTTATTCCTGGTTTTCCCCCGCTGTCCCTCTGCCTACATGTAAGTCCTGATATATGGTGTTTCGCGATATCCCATGTCTCCTATCACCAGCTCTGATGGCGCGTCTCCAACCTCTGTTGTCTCAGGCCTTGAATGGAGTGGCTGCTGTGCTACCATTTTTCCCCCTACGTGGCTCATTAGAGATTGAGATAAGACCACTTGATTCATTTCCTCTTGTGGCCCAATCCCGGAATTGGAACTGTAGATAATACAGGTCTCCTGTGTCCTACTCCCATGCCCTATCCACTAGGCTTTTGGCCTTTCTTGTGTAAAGTAATACGCAAGGCCCTGTATTGTTGAGAGAGACACAACTTATTTTCCAGTAACTCCTCCCATGGACTGTCACAGCCTGCAATCCCAACTGCACTTCTTCCACTTTACCCCCACGTCCTCACCCAATACAGTAGAATTCCAATAATCCGGCACCTTTGGGACCTAGGTGGTGCCGGATTATCGGATATGCCGGAGTATCAGGAGGTACTCCAGCAGGGGGGCTGTGACAGGTCTGCCGGACCCACACTGTGTCCGGAGGCTGGGCGGGAACGGCACGGTGAGGGGCGAACCTTTCACCGTTTTGCAGGAAGGTGGGAGAAGCCCTGCACTGCTGCCAAGAGTTTCCGGGAGGGGAGGGGAGCAGGCTCCCCACCCCCAGACTGCAGTACTTATCCCCGAGCAGGGGGTGAGGGGTGGTGCTGCAGGACCAACCGAGCAGCACCCCAGCTGCTCTGCTCCCTGCCGCTTCCCCAAGTCCGTCACTCGTCAGTTTCATCAGCAGCAGACTTGGGGAAGCAGCGTGGAGCAGCTCCAGTTGTCCAGCTGGCCGTACCACTTCTGGGTACCAGTCGGTGCCAGACTATCGGGAGTTCCGGACCCCTGGATGCCGGGCAATTGGAGTTTTACTCTAGTACCTGCTGTGTGTCTAGGTATTTGTATGGCCCTTATCACTAATATCTGAGTTTCTGTAACACCCTTGTCGAAGGTGTTGCCAGTAACCTGAGATGAGTGAAAACAGTATTACCCAATTTTGAGAGGCAGCGTAGTTCAGTGAATATGGAACTTAGAACTAGTCCCAGCTCTGGCAGCTGATCTGTTGGCAGCTCATGGCATTGTGTCTCTTTTTCGTAAACCCTTCAAGATAGGGACTTCATAGGGTGCCTATTACAGTTGGGTCCTCATGTCAGTTGGGGCTTCTAGGACTATCTTTAATACAAATAATAATAATTAAGCTTGGAAGGATTAGATTTTGATCAGTGACTGGCAAATGTTAATATCCACCCAAACTAGACCAAAAACATTTCCCTTGATGATCAGTCCTTACCGATAAGCAGAGTAAGGAAAATGGAGAACTTATTAGCCAAAATCCAGTGATTTAGACTCCTGAATTGGGCTGGTTACAAATGGACTAGTGAATGGATAGTAACAGCAGGTACGGCTTGTTGCATTTTATATTTTGACTTGTGATATTGACAATTTGTGCTTTGACAATTTATAAAAGTTTAACTTTTTGAATCTCTGCATCTGTCAGTGAATAATTGTATGATTCCCCCACAGTATGTCCCATAACTGTTAAAATTTAAAATAGACAATATTAAAAAATGGTTTAAACCGTAACATTATTTATTAACATTATTTTTAAAAAACTGCTGCCAGTCCTAATGTTAAGAGATTGTTTGCCAGAAGGTAGGAAGGGTTGACAGGTGATGGTGACCTGTTCTGTTCATTCCGTCTGGGGCACCTGGCCTTGACCATCATTGGAAGACAGGACACTGGCCTAGATGGACCTTTGGTTTGACTCAGTATGGCCCTTCTTATGTTTTTAATGGGGCCCTCTCCACAATACCGGACCTCGTTGTCATCTCTTTTTTTTCTCTGTGTTCTTTCTCAGGGGGAATTGAGCCATCCCAAACAACGAGGGGACCACCACTTTCTGTGGGGCCTGAGTGGCCATCAAGAGGGTGAGTGGCACATGGAGTGATGGGGGGATAAAACCATCTTCTAACCAGGGGAAAGTGGTACCCTGAGACAGTTGCCTGAAATGCTTTTGCTTTGTTCCTGACCAACCGTCCCCTTCCCAAGCTCCATCCCTGTAGTTAGTTGTGTGGACTTTTCTATCCTGTTGGGAACAGAGGGATGTGGTACATGCAACATGAGCTGGTGGTTTGCTTTTTGTGGTAGAGTGGGTTGATGTGCTTGGAATTTTTTTCTATCAGTTGTTCCCTTAACCCATTTTTAATTGAAATTATTCATGGGAAAAACCAAACACTTACGATGTTTCACCAAAAATCTCATTTAAAAAAGAAACGTTATTAAAATGGGTATGTGAACTGTTTGGTTGCAGAAACCCAGTTTGAGTAACACTTTGGATAATGTTTTAGAATACGAATTTAAGAAATATCTTAAATTTGGTTAATTTAAAAAAAATGTTCTGAGCCGCTTGTATTTACAAGTTTGGATGAAGAGAACACAGATAAGTCTTTTCCGTTGTGCCTGGATGCCTTTCTGGGAGAGATGCTGTGATCAACTACAAGTTATTGTACTCAGTACAGGGATTACTAGAGGAAATTTATGTCCAATGCTGGATCAGAAGTCAAATTAGCTGATAGTAATGGTCCCTTCTGGCCTTTTAAGTCTACGCTTGTCACAATTTTCATTGAAAACGCTATACAAACCTTTGCTAAAACAGGGTTTTCGCGCCTGAAAAGGTTTTCAATAAAGTGTTCTTTTCATTTAAAAAAAAATAAAAATTCCATGTTCAGTTGTCCAGCAATCCTAGAGGTTTCCTAGGCGAGAGAGCCAGAGAGCATTCTCTCTGCCCCCGATTTTAGCATCCTCTCTGCCCCCGATTTTAACAAACCTGTGCTATAACGCCTAGTGGCACACTTCCTGGTGATGTGTTTAGGGGCATGTAGAACAGACTGCTGGCGGCTGAGTGTGATGCTCACTTTTAGTCTCTGATACTCCTGGAACAGTCATCCCGGGACAATTGTCTTTTGCCTTGCAGATGGCTGTTCTTTGCCCCTTAATGCTGCTGTGTTTGATGCCTATTAGGTCAGGTTAGAAGATGACCTAAATTCATCTATAGTAAAGGCCTGCATGAATAGAAGCTTATTGTTTAAACCTCCCCTTCTCTCTCACACACTCTCTCACACACACTCTCTCTCTCTCTCTCACGCACACACACACACACACACCCACACACACACCCACACACACACCCACACACACACCCACACACACACCCACACACACACCCACACACACACCCACACACACACCCACACACACACCCACACACACACCCACACACACACCCACACACACACCCACACACACACCCACACACACACACACCCCCCACAACCTGAAAATCAGTTTGCTTATTGAAATATCTTCATCTTCTATGCTGTCTGTCATGTGCTAAATGGTGGCTGTTTGTGGAGTCATTCAAGAGTGGCAGAGCTTGTCAGTCAGGTGGGGTAGGATCCAGCTTGTGGTTTCAGGGTAGATTGAGAGTGCAGGTGACCAAAGTGTGAGTGTTAATGCAATTGTTCTGGAGCCTTTTCCTTCAGTACTTGCCCAGGGTGGATATTTAAGATTTACTGTGTGTGGCCAACACAAACCAGGTGAAATATTATTTGTTTTGGTGATGTCCTGTTAGTTGTTTCAGCTTCTGTGTACAGGTTAGACCAGTCCCCTTTTCTTTAGCTCTTGCTGCTGTTTGTGCGGTTGTGTGCCCATACCCTGCCTGCTTGCAACATCCACCCTTCTTCCCCTTACGATGCTGTTGTGATTTGATTGGAATAATTGGAGAGCAGGGCCCCTTCTTATAGCCAGCCAGACATTCCAGCTCCATGGTTTGCTTTCCCATTAGAAATTGTCTCAAGGGGCTAGGATGAGGGGGAGTTCCTCCACTACAGGGAGACTCTTGGCGCCAGGGAGAGGAACGCAAAGACCCAGCATGAAACAAGCAGTCATTCCCTCCAGAACCTATAATGGACCCTTTCATCAAGCAGTTGTTGGGGCAAACTCTATTCACAGCCTGGTCTAGTGGTTAGGACCAATGTTCCCTCTATTTTTTTCCATCTGTGTGCAGAATACATTTTGTTATGTGCATCAAAGCATGTGTTGATGTGCGCCACCAGTAGAAGCACATGCAGAGCGCCCCCAGCTGGCAGCTCATCAGCTGGTAGCATTTGAATCTTTCCTGAGCAGCTGCCCAAGCACTCAGCTTACAGGGTACACTGATTACAACTCAACATGCAATGTCAGGAGACAAAAATTCAATTCCAAGCTCTGCTGCTGACTATCTGTATGATGTCGAGGGAGACGGTTGCTCTGCATTGAGTTGCCCAACGTTATGTGGGGGGAAGGGTTAGGGATGGTCGATGGCGTTTATTTTAGTAATCAACAATTTTTAGCAGTTACACGGTTACCAAAATGTTTCCCCCAGGTGCAGGCCCGGCAGCCTGTTTAACTTCCAGGGATCCATAAGAACGGCCATACTGGGTCAGACCAAAGGCCCATCTAGCCCAGTATCCTGTCAGCCGACAGTGGCCAATGCCAGATGCCCCAGAGCGAGTGAACACTAGAGGACTACCTGTTCTGATCTCTTTTCTGTCATCCATTTCCAGCTTCTGACAAACAGAGGCTAGGGACATCATTCCTACTCATCCTAGCTAATAGTCATTGATGGACCTAAACTCTATGAATTTATCTTGTTGATTTTTGAACCCCGTTAGTCCTGGACTTCACAACTTCCTTTGGCAAGGAGTTCCACAGGTTAACTATCCATTCCCCCCCCCCCCTTCACACTTCCTTTTTTTGTTTTAGACCTGCTACTTATTACACTTCTTGCACCCCTGCGCTGATGCCTCTGTATCAGAGGGGAGCTGGTTTAAAAATTGGCTCCCCGTGCAGACTGGCTCTCGCCTAATACAGAGGCGGCAGCATGGGGCAGCGCTGACATCACATGAAGCAGCCTCTCACCACACATGCCAGCTCCATGGAGGCACTTGCTCCCCCGCCCTTCCCCCCCCACTGCTTCCCACAGAGGCAGCAGCACGAGTTGGGAGAGGTGGCTCTGAGAAGCCGGCATGCCCTGAGAGCCAGCTTAAAAACTCGTTAAATCCACATCCCACACAGGCTGTTAGTTAGGTAATGAGTGCAGAGCTGGTGAACGTTCACTGAGACTGACTTGAGAGACAAGCGCTTGGGCTCTGGCTGTTCAGACCCTGTAATGTGTGCTTCACAGCATCCAACATAGGCTAGAGAAGTGTGTGTGTGTGGGGGGGGGGGGTTGTTTTGTTGTTGTTTTTTTGTATGTCTTTGCTTTGACTTTGCTCTCCCTGTTTGAGAGCTGCAAGCTCCTCTCTTCCAGTTGTTCCACAGATTTTTTTTTTTTTTTTTAATTATTAAATCCTGTGATCAACTGATCTGAACTCCTGCAGAACAGGTCTTAGAGTTTTCCATCCAGTGAGTCCTGTACCGAGAGCAGTGCAAGTGACTGCTTTCCTTCTCTGCCCCCTTTTGTTGACAGCCAAGAACCCTTCTTTTGGGTGTGGTGTGCTGTCCTAAGTAATGGCACCGAGACCTCTTACAGAAAGAATGAGCCTTAGCTGAGAGTCTGCTGGCTTTTAGCTGAGCTTGGTAGAGGCTCATGCACTAGGCTCCAGAGGTCCTGGGTTCCGTTCCACCTGTCGACGTTACGCAGGCAGCCCTCCTCTGCAGCTAGCTAGCTTCCTGTAACCTGTGCACACAAGGGATGTTAAAATGCATGTGTGTACGTCAAAGTGTAACTGCTGAAAATTTGGCCATGACACATTTACACGTGGGTGGGGGCGGCTTCCCTGCTGCCTCTCTATTAGAGCAAGCAGCATGGTGGGGGAGAGGCAGCTCTGTGTGAGCCAGTATGGTGGTGGGCGCAGGGATCATGTCAAAAGGGGGAACTTGTACTAGATTGAGTCCCTGTGCCACTAACCTACAGCATGTGTAGATCGTTGACGTATAGATTGTTGAGGTATAGATGTCAACTGAAAGTGTCAGTTCTCCTGCTCCCATCGTGCACGTGGTCCAGTGTTGTCTGCCTAGGAGATGCATGGGCATTGGTTTGACTTCTCGTGTCAGACTGACATGGGGCCATCTTGTGCCCTCACCATGTCAATTTGGAATGAGTGCACTGGCTTGGGTTGAGCTACTGGTGTGAATCTGGAGTGTAACGAGAGCAGGATTTGACCACAAAAGAATCACTGTCTTTTGCCCACAATTTTCCCACACCACCTGTGGGCATCGAACCACCTTTGCTGTGGCATCATTGCTAAAACTACGTGTTGAAAACGTTCAAGTCAAGCTCCTAGAAATCATAAAATTCACTTTAAAAAAATCTAATCTAGTGTAGCCGCCTGGGCGCCAAGGTTTGGGTGATCAGCCAGCGGGCTCATCACTGGTGACATTTGGTTCCCTCTTTGCTTCTCAGTGGCATAAGTGAAAGGGCATCACTGATGTTTTGTTGGGGTTGGCACAAAGCTGGTTCTTACTGTAGGCTTGAGGGCGGGGGGCTGGACTCGATGACCTCTCGAGGTCCCTGCCAGTCCTATGATTCTATGATTCTAAAGCTTACTCAGTGCATGTGTCTATCTCCTTCTCTACAGTGGCAAAGCCCTTCTCCTATGATGTCATGCACAGAGCATTGGGGAGTAGGAAGTGCCTTGGTAGGGTTACCAGGTAGCTTCAGAAAAAATACTGGACACGCTTGATGAGGGGGGAGGTTGCCCGGGAGGAGAGGGGGGTATGGGTTGGGGGCAGCGGGACTGGCCAGGGGAGATCAGGTGTGGGGGGAGGATGGCAGGGGTGGGCAGAGGGAGGGGGGGGGGGCGCGGGGGGTG